CGACAAACTATCCTTTCCATCAGCCTTTCCATACAAATAGATGCATATATTTAAACATCCATGCTTTCTACATAAAAGGTTTAGTGGATCAAATTCTTTCAGGTTTGAGTTCTGGGGCGGACATCTTTTCCATTGGTTTCACCTACTTTTATCAATAATCATTCTGCATAAAATTGATATTTACAAGTACTAATATCTACTTGAATTGATTTTTTATTAAAATAGTTATCTATGATTCCACTGAAGACTCTTAGATGAATTGCAGAAAAACATAATTTTTTCTTTACCCCATAAGACAAAATCTAGCTCTGAAAAGAGCAGGAATTATGTATTTACCATCTTTAATGTTAGCACATTGATGTGTTTAATTAACCACATTAACCACATATTAACCAGTGGTTTTGATGTCAAGTAATTCTTAATATACGAAGATTTTTAATATTTTGAATATTCCACTTGAGAGTATTACTGCTGTCACCATCTGTATTAGAGGGGGGAAAATGGTAGGGTGGCCAATGATTGGCTAAGGGTGGCCATGGCCCCCCTTGGCCCCCCATCTAGCTTCACCCCTGCTAACATCTCCAAGGAACCAAAAAACAATTGAGGATTGATTGAAACGTATATAGAGATAAATAGAGATTGAGAAATACTTTTTTTTCTTAGACATTTGATACTTTAACGTTCAACGTCTGTTCCTAAAATTGAATTGCATCCTCAGGTAACGGCCTTGTTTGAACATAGAGAGAAGACAATAGACTGGGGGGATGGACATCCACATGTTGATGTCTATAAGACTGTATGAGTAACAGTTTCCAGACTACTGAAAAGGATTAGGGCCACTGAAAAAAAAAAGAAAAAAAAAGAAGTTAACTGATTTTTAAATTTTATTTCAGTTTAATATAGGACAAAAGTCAGAATTCTGACTTTATTCACAGAATTATGACTTTATTCCTCAGAATTATGACCTTAATCTCAGAATTATGACTTTAATCTCTGAGTTCTGACTTTTTCCCATAATAAACTGAAAAAAAAAAAAAATTAGTTAACTTATTTATTTATTTTTTTCAGTGGCCCTAATCCTCTTTCTTACCAAACTGACTCAGGAAAAAAAATCAATCCGAGGCTCGTTGTTGCATGAAGCCAAAAAACACACTAATGAAAACAGCCGCTGTTAATTGAGGGACATTCAAAGCCCTTGGCTGCCCCCTGTGGGCTGCAAATTGCAATTGTAGCACTGAGACAAAAAAAAACTATTTTCCAACAAAAAGCATCAACATAGACAGACTACATCGACCGAAGTCAGTAACTGTGAGCGATTTCAAAATAACTTATGCAAACAACGGTAATCCCTGTCAACAAATAGGCCTATTGCTTTTTAATTCTCATTTTCATACACAACAAAACAATCACTAACATTTCTTAAAACTTTTAAGAAATAGATGAATCCGTAAGATTTTCCCTCAATTGCACATTTTTTAAGCAAAAGAAAAACACCTACCGGATTGCGTTAATAATTGCGGAGTCTGTTTAACCATCCATCCTGCAGCAAAGATGCGTCTTTCTGTCTACAGGCTGGAAACTGATTTAGGAGGGTTTTTTTCAGCTGGAAAAAGAGCTTCTCCGTCTGTAACTGCATCCAGTGAGTGAGGGGAGGGAAATAAAGGGGAAAGCGGACTGCACAGGAAACGATGACGCTGCTGGATGGAAATCACTTTTTTTTTTCTTTTTTTAAATGAAAAGAAGATGGTCGAAGTTTTCTCAATAATCTACTTTTTTTATTCTGCAATCACTGACATGCCTGTTTTCAGAGGCGTAACCAGAACAGTTTATTAAGGGTGGCCAGGCAATAACCAGTGTACACTGAGGGGATAGGGGCAAGAACCTCAACATCCATATTTTCTAAATAAAGACAAACTATACTTTCCTACAGCCTTTGCTAACAAATAGACACATATATTTAATCATCCATGCTGTCTAAATTAAAGCTGTAGTTCAGGGGTCTTCAACGATCCAGGCTAAGGACCCCAAACTGATGGCGAGATGGAGCAGCGACCCCCTAATTATATATATTGTATGAAATTGGTCCTATGGTCACTCTATTACAGATGGAGTCATGTAACGAAAGGAAGTTCGCCCTGGGATTATTTAAGTATTCCTGATTCGGATTAATCGTTGATGGGACAGGTGTTGTGAATGAAACGGTGCCCTGCTTGAAAGAGCTCCTGTGTGTCGCTGACTGTGTACATTGATGACTAAAAGACATCGTCTGCCTCCATTTATGTGTTTACTACAATGTGTTGAATTTATGTTAATGAGTATTTAAAGACATTTCAATTAGTGGAAAAAATTGCAGGCGGGAAAATGAAAAGAAAAAGTCTAATCAACCAAAACTTTCGCGACCCCCATGCATTACTTCTGCGGACACCTTAGGGGTCACAGACCCCCCTGTTGAAGACCTCTGATGTAGTGGACAAAATTCTCTTAGTTTTGAGTTCAGAGGCAAACATCCTATTCATTGTCATATTTACCTACTTTATTAATAATCATTCTGCATAAAATTTATATTTACATGTTCTAATTAAATGGAATACTTGTTATTAAAATAGTTATCTCTGATTTCAGAGAAGATTCCTAGATGACTTGCAGAGACATAATTCTGTATTTATCATCTTTAATGTTAGTATATTGATGTGCATAATTAACCACAGCGTTTTTGTTGTCAGATAATTGTTTACATATAAAAAATTAAAATGTTAAATAAGTGAAAACATTCCCATTGAGAATATTACTGCTGCCACCATCTGTATTAGAGGGGGAAAATGGTAGGGATGGCCAAAGGGGAGGCCACCCTTGGCCCCCCATCTAGCTCCACCCCTGCCTTTTTTAAAAAAAAAAGAAGTAACTAAGGGGGAGAAATTAAAACGTTAATTTATTTATGTGGAAATGTGTTTAAATTTTACTTGGCTGCATAGATTTTAACCTAGTGTGTATAACAAAGGCAATAATAATTAGCAATATTGATCTATCAGCTTAGGGCTGAATTTGATGTGGGACCACCATAAAAAGCTTTTGCACACAGATGTGGAGGAATCTGGGAGAGACAACCAACTTTAAATGACTAAGATTAAATAAAAAAAATAGATAACTACTAATTATTTTTTGATATGTATTATACTTTCTTTATACAAAGAAAGGATCAAACTAATATAGCATCAGATTATAAGAGGATACACAAAGAAAACTAATTTTTTGCCCTTTTACGAACATATTTTTCATTTTCTTTACATTTAAATGTACATTTTAGAGAATGTAGAATGTATTATCTATGGTGAAACTGGCAGCACTCATCAGATTGGGGGTTTGGGGGTCCTTTCAGCAGCTTAGTTTGCAAATGCCTGGTACCTGCTGTAATTACAAACAAATAAACAAAAAAAGATTATAAACAGATAGGTATAAGACATCATCAAAAGAGGATTTTTTCATGTTTCAAAAGGCTGGAGTGAAGTAGAAACATGTGACCTGGATAAAGAGCATTCATGGGCCAACATTTTGTGGAAACTAAAAGCTCTGCACACAAATATCTGGAAATGACGAGCATGCTGTGGCTAAAGTGCTCCAATTGGATGATATGAAATAATTACCTATATTATGTAAGAACACAGAATAGGAGAAAAGCAGAACCCTGAGAAAAACTATCTTTTATAGTAAGAGGTGAGGATCTTTTTATTTTTTTTTTATTTGTATGTGTAAATTATGTCAGAAAAAAATTACATGAGTCAAATTCACAGTCTAAGACAATAAGTAATCATTATTATTTTGGGAAAAGCACAAAATGCTATTCTATTCTATTACTTTTGTACAGAGCAATATAGCATTATTTTGTAGTTTATTTTAAAAGGAAAAATTTGAACACTGTGTTCCGGTTAACATGAAATGTTAAGCCTACAAAATTCTGCAGGAAGTACAAGGTTGGGCAACTGAACAAAGTGCTAAAGTACTTTCTCAGATGAGTGAGTCCCCCATGGTTGTAGGAAGTTGTCTAAAGACAATAGAGAACTATGAAGTGCCCTCTGTTGTGCTAATTTTAAAGCATCCTGATACTAAATATAAGAGTCCATCCAGTCCAAGAACTCTGCTGCTAATTAAAGATGGGATAAAACTGTCCTTAAGAAAAAAAAATCTTGGACCCATGGCAAGAAATATCCCCAGATCCTAGCTACCGGTACTTAACCTGTGGTCATTCTCTCACAGTGGAAAAAAGCAAACCTGAGAAACTGTGATCCCATCAGCTCGCTAAAAAAATGTATCTTCTCCAAACAAGATTTCATGAGTTCACATCTAAAGTTCCAGATCAAACTGGAGACTTAATAACAAAGATCAACACGTAGTTTTTACTATTAAATTGAAATTAAAGTTTACAAAATAAAGCATTTAAAAATGTATGTTTGTCATTTGTTCTTAGAACATAAAATTCTTTATTTCTGCATTCTAACACCAAAATCATTCATGTGGTTAAAACAGCATTCAGTAGTCTCATTTCGGTTAAAATCCCCCATTTCATAAAAAAAGATGTTTTGAGGGAAGTGGATCAAATCATTAATATCAAATTAAAGAAATGCTAATTCTGGACAGCCTGATCCCTTTCTAAACTAACTCACATTGCTCACTCACCTTGCATCTCTTAGGGAGCCAGGCTATTGAGGGCCCCTGTTGCCAGGGGAGCCCAAACTGGATGTGAATTTTGATCGGTAGAACAGCACTTTTAATCAACTTCTAATGAGGAAAAAAAAATTTAGGCTTAGAAATGTAGTGTTTTTGTCCTCTCTCTTGCAAAGCAGATGTTCAGATATTTTTTTTTCCTGGTACTTTCTGTAGGAAACATGTCCTGGACTACTAAATCATCACAAGCGAAAAAATAAAGAACTGTCAAATACTCCTATAGTTTGAAGCTCCTGACAATTAAAAACGAGCAGATACAAAAAAAAAGAAATAGAGTCAGATATTTCACAAATTTATTTAAGAGTCAAAGATTACACATAAACAATAGTTAAGAACACTTTCACAGGTCTCCTTCTAGTGGTGGTTTATCCACCTTGAGGACTATACAGGCCACCCAAACTTTATAAAAAATAAACTTCAATGAGCTCAGAGTAACTGAAATCTTCCACATCCACACTGTCTATTAGAGGACTTCATTAAGGAGCTGATTCCTAACCAATCACAATATATATCAAAGACTATACAGTAAATATGTTACACAGTCAGAGAGGGTCAGAATCAGTAACACAGCTATGTTAGCCAAATCGCTTTTGATTTCTGCAGAGCTTCATTAAACGTCAATTTTCATGTAAAACATTTCACTATTTGTAAGACATTTAAACAAGTGGTAGGACAAAAGGGTGGACGTATTTAGAAAAAGAGCTTTTATAAAACATGCTTTTCCAGAGAGAGATGACAAACTCATGTTTCACACTTCTGTGCTTAAATGAGATGAGCTGCTTTACATCATGTTCGTACGGCATAAATACTGACCACTGACTGATCCAGTTGTTGCCATTTAATTTGTAAACTGGAAAGACTGGAGTGTTTAAGAGATGAAACTCCATCTTGAAAATGTTTAAGCTGCAGAATAGTCGCATTCTTATTCATTTGAGTATTGTGCAAAATTAAAGTCATTATAATCTTTTCCCATAGACTAAACAAGTGTTTCTGGTAACCTTAGCCTCACAGATCAAGAATTTTGTACCATGTTCACCTACAAAAACTAAACCATAAATAAAGAGTATGACCAAATTAAAGTGGGTCTCTCACAGTGTTTTATTTTCTTCGTAAATGTTGTTTTCTTCCGGTCTCCTCTCCACCAACAGCTCGGACAACTGTTTAACTAAGAACCACATGGCGGTCAAATACAGACTTTCTCTGTTCCTGGACCTGCCTCCTCCAGCGCTGCTGGGCATGCTCCACTTTGTTCAGCATGTTGGGTCGAGAGTGTGAACGGGACAAGACACTGTGTGCATTGGAAAACGGCTGCTGGTCCTGAACACAAAGAAAGGCGAGCTGATTAGAAAATGCACTGTTCTTAAAAATATATATATCTACACTGTGAAAAAAAGAAAAACCCTATTAACATAAAAATGAGCAAATGTACAACAGATAAAAACAGTTTTTTGCTGTTCATTCATATGTATATATATATATATATATATATATATATATATATATATATATATATATATATATATATATATATTTTTTTTTTTTTTTTTTTTATTCCTGTGAAGCACTATTGTTTCTGTAGGATCTTGGAAAACTAATTCATGTGTTCATCTTTAGTAGAAATTATTACAGCTGCAACTGATCCAGAATGCTGCTCCCTGCATCCTCACTAAAACTAAGAAAGAACATCACTGAGTGCTAAAGTCCTTACAGTGACTTTGTCTTTAACATTTTTTTTTTTTTTTTTTGATCAATCACTGAATGGCTTAGCTTCAAATTATTTTATAGACCTGCTTTTGTGGAGAACATGGAGAAGCAGCTTTTATCTCTTATGATCAACTGATCTAGAGCAAACCCCCAAAACACTGTAAAATCCATAAAACACTTTAAATCAAGATTAAAAGCACATTTGTTCAGAGTGGCCCTTGTCTGATCTATTTAAACAGTATTTAAGTTTTCAGTCCAACTTTTCCTTTCATTTTTTCACATAATCATATTTTAACGGCTCATATTTTTCTCTGTAATTGTTTATTTTATTTTATGCCACTGCAATTAACTTTTCTGTTTCTTCTCATGTCCAGCACTTTCAAATATACTTGTACTGAAATATTAAATATAAATAAACCTTCCTTTTCTACAGCGAATGTTGCAGTAGTTCTACTATAGTCCTGTTTATTATAGTAAATGAAAAGATGTACAACAAATTTTTGTTCAGAATAAAAACAAAAAACTTTGAACTAAATTCTGTTCAGGTAAATATTAAGGTTTTAATGAGAGGCCCCTTGAATGAACTCTATTCAATCACATCGTGATCAAAAAGCAGCAGAAGCTCCACCTCCAGCCTCAGGGAAAGGCTGCAACCTCTTTGCTCTGTTAATAACTAAACACTCAGCCACACCAAAGAAGGTCAAATTGATTACTTTTTTTTCCCTCTCTTTGAGCACCTAATTTCTTTTATTTTTTATATGAAATAAAACGAACTTCTGAAACAAGATCACAGTTTCTTTTATGTTTGGTTTGTTTTATGTGTGCCAGGGCTCTAATTGCAGGACGCAGTAAAAGCCAACCTTCCTTGAGGGTGATTACACCATGTGTTTTTCCTTCTTTTCCACATATTCAAGCAGTAACAGAAACTAGAATACCTCAATAGAACACAGGATCAATTCTAATCTGATTCTGACCCTGGAAGCATTAGTCATGTTGCGTTAGCATCTACTGCCAGCATGCCTGACTTTTACTGGAAGTTAAATTTAATCCATTAGGCGCATTGTCCTATAGCAGCTAAAATAAAGCAACTATACCTCCAATACATATACTAATGAAACCCTGTAGCACTCAGTCCAGTTGTCTTCTAGTTATTTATTAGTAAAGAAGCCACAAAATCAAGTAAACGTAGATTAATAGAAAGGGAGGTCTAATACTATTTTCTGTTTGTAAAAATAGTTTTATTCAGTTTTTCTAATAGTCAAAGAAATAAAACTATAAGATATAAATTGGTTTAAAACAACAGCAACAAAAAAATTCCAATTGTAACCCAAAATACTAAAGGAAACTTTAAAGACATTTAGAAAAGCCTGAAGAAAAATGTTAATAACAATCCCATCAAGGATAAATAACTCATTTTAAAGATGTTGTTGTATTACTTATATAGACAGGAGTCTACATAGGCATGTTTTCTGTGCAATTTTCCCTACTTTATTATATTAATGCTAAATACTAATGCGTTGTAATGCCTGTGTGAGAGCTTCCTTTCTGAGCAGTTTTTGCAGCTGATTCTGGTTGCTAATGTATTGCAAAGTCGCTGCTTGAAACATCTGTTAAGATTGCTTTGGACTCACTTAGTACCCAGGGTCATATTTCCAAGAGGTTTTTTTCCCCCCCAAATAGAGAGAGCAGTTATCACGTTGTTAATTTTTACCCAGGATGAAAGCATATCATGTGATGTTTTTCAGCCATTTGCTTACACATAAAGAGCCTGATGATACTGACAGAGTTCAAAGAGGGAGTAATATAACACTTTAAAGCCGAACATACCCCGACGACATCGTCATCACTTTGAATAAGCTGAGAGTGTCCAAACAGCCGCCTTTTCAACATGGGCTCCAGGAGGGTCAGGTAGACCATGTAGAGCAGAAGCAGGCCCAAAATAGAGAGGTAAAGGATGATGGTAAACTAAAAAGGAAAATCAGGGCGTGGATTTACTCAGTGAGAAAATGTACAACAAATAGCAATTACTTAAGGATAAAAATGTTGATTACAGTCATTTATCCCTTATGAGGGGACACAAATTGGTCATAAGGCACCAAAATAATTCTGCAGCATCACATCTCTTAGAAAACATTTTATGAGAAAAGGTATAAAAAAATACCACAGACAAGAAACTTTAAACACAAGTCTCAGTGAGGTGAGACAGAATAAGGCACCAAACTAATGAAAGGATATCAGCAATACACCAATTAAAATAATATTTTAATCAAAGAGCAAAACTGAACTTTGTAATTCAACAGTCTACATTGTTATCTTTTTTTGTTTGTTTTTTTTTTTTCCCAATACTCATTAAGACATTCTTTTTATTTAGGATTTTAATTTTTGCATGTGCCTCAGTCTTGGAAGGTCAAACTGGAGCTGCTGCATATCTCCAGCAGTCAATGTGTGGGAGAGATAGGACAGGTCACCAGTCTGTCACAGGGTGAACAAATACATAAAGGATATAAAGTTGTAGACATGCACACTTTATCCTAAGGGTCATTAAATTGGCCTATTACACCAAAGTTGTTTGGTTTTTGTTTGTACTGTGTAAAGAAATCAAAGTGCTGAACAAAGCAGAAAGAAAGAGCCTGTGTTTTAAATCTTCAGTTGATACCATTTTAAGATTAAATATCTTTAATGTAATGATTCCTGAATATTATAAGTGAAATTGCTCGCACTTAATACATTTTCTCATAGGTTGTTTTGTCATTTTTGTCAATTCATTTTGTCCACTGTGATTTCTGCTTCTGCCTTTCTGGACCAGGTCAACATTGTGAAAGAGGTCTTAATCTAAATGGGTCTTTTATCCTGTTTAATGAAGGTTTCATAAAATTAAAACTGGAAGGAATCGACAAATCTGCGCGGAGAACAGGCCACCTTTTCCCCAAAACTCCACTCCTAGGAATTGAACCTTGAACCTACTGACAGCTAACCAACAGAGCTAGAATCTTTAACCAAAAGTAAATGCAATTTTTTTTATTTTTTATCAGAAAAGTGATTCAAGCAATTTTCCTCTTATTGAGTGCTAAAAACAAGATATTAAATGATTTATCCAAACCATGAGACTCAATGGAAACTTTTAATCCCAAATCAGATTAGGACACAACAACTGCATGAATACAAACACAAAAATGTTTCTTTCTGAGCATTTATGGAAACTGAACTGACCTTAATAGTCCCAGAGCTTCTTTCTTCATATTTACACTCACAGCGCAAACAGTAGGCTTCAACGTCTTTGCCTTCCACCGGCATCGGTTCCACCACATGGAGACAATTACTAATGAGAGAACAGCAATATTAGATTATTATTAACAGAAATAAAAAAAAAAGCTTGTATCAGAGGGAGGAAGTTAGGTTTCTAAACTCACCAGTCTTTGAGGGAGACATTTTGTTTGTAGATATGTCCTTCTACTTCTTTATAAGGTGGACATATACATTTACAACGGATGTCTTCTGAATTCTGTGGAGAGAAAAAAAAAAGTTTACATCAGTAACTATTTAATCTTTAGGGCTTAACATTTTTCACCTCCTGTCATTTGGTTTTGCTGCCAACTTCCTGTTTTGTCTTGAATGAAAACAAAAGGGACATCTAATTCAGTTTACATTAAGTTTACAACTTTATACAATTGATCTTTGATTGAGGAAAATATTTAAATCTTAAAAACCCCCAAAAATTAAGAAATCAATAAATATTTCTGTATTTTTTATTTTGTAATATATGTGTTGCTGTTGTATTGTATTGTGTTTAATTTATGGAGAATTAAACTAACTTTTTTTAATAGTAATGTTCTCAATAATGTTTATTTTACTGTTTTATAATACGAACTATTTCTTTGTTAGTTCTATTACTATATTGTTGTCAACAGAAAAGCATAAAACCCTAACTACATATTTGAGCCAACTTAATCCCACAACTTAATATTTTGCAAACAGAGGGAAGGAATTTTACAGGAAACAGATTTTTGTCTCAGTATGCCAACATCACCATTTCTGTCTCTAGCTAGTTAGCAGCTAGCCAGCTAGCAGCTTTACCTTCGCTGAAACCTCAGTGAGCAGCACAAAACTCGCCAAACAGAGAGCCTCGACGCCCAACAGGAATTTCATCATTTCGGTCCAGTCACTATGGTACTCTCATTAAAAACTGTCAGTCAGTAAGCTGTTTCCAGTGTTCGTCCAGGAACGACAGCCTAAAAATCGAAGCCTTTAGCCATCGAGCTAAAACACAGTCAGCTGACTCTACTTCCGCATTCAGTCATGTGACCTGACAGGAGGCGGGGCTAAATGGAAATGTCCATTTCTGGTTTTAACAAACATCCGGAAGACGTTCAGCAATCAAATCTATCAACAGGATGCATTTTTACTTTATTTGGAGAAAAAAAACTCACTATATAAAAAAGGTATAGGTACAAGCTATTGAATTTGACAGCATGAATGGCACTTTGAAAATTAATTGGCTTCGGTTTTTTTAATAATTCAAAATCAATTCTGGTTCAATATTCCAAGTGAAATATTTTCAAACCTAGGCGGGATTAGTTTTCTTCTTAGATGTGACTTTGATGTAAAAGAAAAAAAAAAACTACCCGTTAAACTTTCCTTCTTTCACCAGCAGGTTTTATTATATTGGAGATTAATCTATAAACATAACTACAGCCCACACAATACTCCCTTCTGGAATTTCAGTTACATAAAAGGGAATAATAGATCAAACTTTGCACGTAATTGGCTAGAACAAGGTGTTTGGTCTGTGATGCATTTGTTAAATAATGGAGGGATTATGTCTTATGAAGACTTTAGAATTAAATATAACTCGCAGATAACCAGAAATGAATTTCAAAAAATTATTAGAGCTATTAACCCCAAATATTTTATGCACAGCTAAAGGTTTTTATGAGAACCCTGTTCACAGAACCCCTGTGCTGCCTGGACTTCTGATTAGTGGACACAGTATCACAGATAATAAACCAAAAAACTCAAAAATTAGGGAACGCTTTACTAGTACTTTGTTTCCTTTTGTATCAAACCCAAATTTTATATCGTATTTCTTGTCCAAGTCTGAAAGAGTTAAA